CAGTTGTATCAGCAATGAAAGTTGATCAAGAACTAATCACAGTAGCAAGACAATGGAGAACAGCAATAAGAAGAATCACAACTTTAGAAGAATTAGTCAAAGTAAAAGAGGTAATGATGCAGAAGAACGAAAGTTTAGAAATAGATATAGAAGAAGGAAATAGAGTTAATAGAGAAGTAGAAATGCAAACAGAGCCAACTATAAACATAGTAGAGTAAGCAGTAGAAGTAGATATAGATTCAGAAATAAAAATGAAAGGCTACGAGATAGAAGAAGTAGCAATAGATAAAAGAATTGAAGAAGAGGAAATGGAAGACATCAGAACAACTGATGTGAGCACAGAAATTAAGCCAAGAAATGACAGATTCATAGAAAAGTTTGAGCAACTCGAAGAATATATCAAGACTAACTATAGAAAGGTATCACTAGATGAAAGCATATAGGCTCCTAAGAAAGATGTATGCAAGGAAAAGGGTGAATTTAAGGCAAAGGTAGTAGCAATAAATGTACTAGGAGATAATGAAGAGCAAAGAGAAAAATGTATTAGATGGTCATTAAGAGGAACAAAGCACTTAAAAAAGATCAGCGAAAAGTTCACAAAAGGAAACTTATAGTGTATCTTACACTTTGATTGTAAAAGAGGATACGAAGAAGCAAAAGGAGTATTTGAGAAAAAAAAAGAAGAGTATGAGCAATTAAACCTAATCTTAGAAGAGTTATCAAGAAAAAGGATAGATACAACTAGTAAATATAAGTATAAGAAAGCAGAAGCAAGTAGAAGCTGAAGTAAGAGCAAAGAAGAAAGGGAAAACCAAGCAAGAAGAGAACTAGAAGAAATAAGGAAAAAAAGAGGCGAACTGAGTAAAGAGTATAACGAGGTCAATGAGAGCTCTACCAAAGACAAAGGAAAAGGAAAAATGGTATATGAGGAAGACAAAATAGAAACAGAAGAAGAGAGGCAGGTAAGAAACAGTTTTAATGAGAAAGAAAAAGAAGAAACCAAAACAAGTATCAAGTAAAAGAGGAGAAAGAAAACAGAAGTATTTATAAAGAAAAGAGAAAAAGACAGGATCGCGGAAAAAGTGAAGAACCAAAAAATTCAGAAAGAAGAGATACATATCAAGAAGGCACTAGAGCTAATTCAAATAAAGAAGAAGAGACAAATACAATAACAGTCTGGGATATACCTCCACACGTCACAAGAATACAAGTATTCAAGACAGTAATGCACATGGGTAGAGTCTCAAATATTGAAATGATCCAAGAAGGACGAATAAAAATGAGAGCTGAAGTCATATTCAAGGATAATAGAATGAATAGACAGGAGAAAGAAGTTTGAGCTTTACCTCTACTTAACAATGTACTCGTATATATAACACTAGGAGTGAATAGCAGAGAAACTTTAGAAAAAAGGAAGCAACACACAACAAAATTGTTTAACATTCCAAAAGAAGCCAATGAAGTGCTCCTTTATAGACAAATTCAATATACAGAAGCAAAAACCGTACACATCTTCAAAAATGCAAATGGAAATAATAAAGGATTTGCATTATTTACATTCAAAGATAGAAGAGACTTGAAGCATGCAAGAAGATTCAGTATGAGATACTACGATACAAGACTCGCATGGGAAGGAGTAGAAAGTAATTTTAAAGATCAAACATACGAAAGAGCAAAGCAAGAGCAAGCTAATTATGATCAAAACTGGAGAAATGAAAGATATGAACAGCATGCTCAAGTAAGAATATAGTAGTAAGTAATAGCTTTGAAGAAGAAAAGGAATACCCAAGAGAAGAATGTCTTCAAGAGAACAAAAGAAAAGAATTTAATAAGAAAAGAAAAACCGAAAAAAGCAAAAAATATACAAACTCAATGAAGCTCCAAGAAGATCCTAACGTATCTTTGGCATATGTAGTTCAACTTATTCAAAGATTAGGAGATCAAGTAAGGTTGTGGGAGCAAAATGCTCCAAATCGCTCCTAAAATTTGCCAAAGTCCAACTACAGGAAGCCTGTATAGCTCATGAAGGAAAACTTGAGCATACAAAAAAGGCATACAACATATTAAACCAAAAGAGAAATAAAGAGTCAAGAGAGTAAGAAGAAAGGAATAAAGAGGCAGAGACAAAAGACAGATAGAAAGATAGAATTAAAGTAGGAACACATAACATCAATAGACTAAAAGAAGACATGACAAAACTGGAACAATTAGCAGAATATTGCAGAGAAGAACAATTTAATTTAATGGGAATTGTAGAAACAAATATAAGTGAGAAGGAAGGCAAGTGGCTCAATTTAGAGAGTATGATATATAGAAGCTTTTGAACCGATACAGAAGCGAACAAGAATAAAAGATCTGAAGTCGGCCTAATAGTAGATTAGAATTGGATATAGCATATGGGAGTATGTAAAAAGTATAACTCATATCTGCTCAAAGCTGAATTCTACTTCAGAAAAGTTGTACTACAGGTCTGGGTTTTATACATACCATCTAAAAATACAGAAATAGCTAAAATGGTACACAAGATAATCCTAGAAGAGCAAATCAAAAAGAGGAAGAATACATATAGTATAATAATGAGAGATTTTAATGCAGTACTAAATAATGAGTTAGATACTAGTAGCAAGAAGAAACGAGTACAAGATGCAAACTTAAAAGT